TCACTACAAAAAAATCATCACCGTTCGAAGTCAGTGGATTTTTTTCAAAATGATTCACCGCAGAAATCTCTGTTCCTAAACATCCCTTTGACAATAAATTCAGGAACTTCATAACCATCGGCGTTAATTTTCCTCGAACTGGTTTATTATTATATTGTTATTATAAACCAGTTTACCTCTTTGTAATTCTTTTCAAATATTGACCAGTGGCGTCGAAAAAGCTAAAGGTTATCGAGTAATATACGGTTGGCACATTTTAAGCCATTTTTATTATAATGAATGTCTAGACTAAAAAAAATAATCAGGAAGAGGGTATCGAATAAAATGAGGTTTTTTTGCCCCTAGAATATCCAAAAATCATTTATTTTTGTTTGATATAGTCGAAAATACAATATTTATTATTTCTTAGAGAAACTGCATCAAATGGTTGCAAGTATTGAAATCATTACAGCATAAAACAATGAAATATATCCATTAACTAGCATTTTTAGAGCTAGCAGAAAAACTATACAGTGCAAAAATCATACGCCCCCACTTTCAACTCCTGAACGGTGCAGTATTTTTTTAAATAACTTTAACTTTCATTGGAAAAGGAAATAAGAAGATAACACTTAATTTTAACCTCATAAAAAATAATTTGAGAAAATGTTTTCCTTGGACAGTCTATTTTCGAACTCATTTCTAACATTTTGAAACGTTTCTGCGGTAATTCAGCATAAGTTTCGGTAATTCTGCCTCTTAGTTCCATCGTCCCAGGTTGTGTAACACACACTTTCAATTCTATCTAACCCCAAAGGAAAACATCGAGAGGAGTCAAATCCGGTAAACAAGCAGGCAATTCCAACGGACCGTGGGCCTACGAATCCACATGCCTGAGAATGTTCAATCCAACGAATTCCATATAGGTCTAAAAAAATGTGAGGACGCACCATCTTGTTGAGAAACAACTAGATTTTTGAATTCTTGATTGATGGCTACAATTTTTTGAATCCGTGAGTGAATGAGGGTTTGAAGAATTTTCAAATAAAATTGACGGTTCAGATTTTTCTCTAGATATGTGGGACCAACAATATGAGTTCCCAATATTCCTGCCCAAACATTAATTCCGTCAGGATTTTTAGTTCAAATCTGACCAATATCGCACATGTTGGCGGTTGACTTTCAATAAGGAAAATAGTGAATAATGCGGATGCCAATGCAAAAGCATTAATAATAATTCAGATTCACCTGATTTATTCATTTCAATTTCCTATGAGATTGACTATTTTAATTTAATATCGACATCTGTATTTGACAGAATTATCGACATTATTGCTTGATCTATTCGCGGGCAGATGGCGCTGTACGTAACATCCTCGATATAATTCGAACTCACTTTACATGTATTTCTTCATTTGAAAAAAGTATTTTTTTTTATTAGCACGCGCACCTGCTGCTTATTTATAACCCTCCTTTGCGCGCCTGCTGCCTTGGACTTGGTAGCTGAGTTTCAGGCTCCCTCTCCAGAATCAGAAAATAAATATAGCTTAAAAAGACTAAAAAACACGCTTTCATAGCACGCAAAACAAAACTATATTTATTTGTAACATTTTTAGGTTTCCTGTATGAATATGTATGTTTATTGGGGATTATTGAAATTATCACCATTATTGAAGTTGAAAAAAAAATGTCATTTAATTATCCCAATTAGAACTTTCCTTCAAGTTTTGACTATACCACTGGTTTCAGCATTTCAACGAAATTTTGACATGGACTATTTCAAAGCTATAGGGGAGCCCAAGCGGGAATTTCGGGATTTACTAAAGCGCGGCAGATTAATATTATACAGGGGGATACCTTGTACCCGGTTAAGTACCTTCAGATATGAGCCCCATATATAAGGCCACCTGTGAGGAATGAAGGATCAGATTAGTAAAGAAAAAATGAGCATCAGAAATTTTCGAGCGCGTCAGATTAAGGTAGGGTGAGTTAATTACCTGCCAAAAAGTGTATATTCCAGTAATCTGACAATTTGAGAGTGACGTAAAGAAAGGGGAGGGCAGGAAAGTTGTAAAAAAATAACGCCATTTCGACATTCTCGAGCGTAGCTAATTTTTCTTTATTTTGAAGGAAATAATAATATCTATAACATTTTTTTCTTCTTATCATCTAAGCTTTGCAACCTAATATGTCACAATGACGCTCGAGGAAATCCCCATTTTCATCGTGGGCTCCCCTTCTATATTCAGTGCATGGTGTGGTCGGATTGACATTGAAAAATAACCAAAGCTTGCCCTGAAAACGAACACACATTCATGAAATCGGGTGATCTAGTAGTCCTTTGAAAGTCTACTTAATGAAAAAGAATGATTGAATGGGGTAGGTATTTTTTAGGAGTGACTAGTTTCTCTGGAATGTTTGGAATATAAACTGAATAGAAGAAAGTGTTTTTGTATGATTCAATGTTCTTTTGTTTCAGTACTTGTGAAGTCTCGATATTTTTACCGAATAAATAATTTCACTGTGAAAAACCGAAAGTATCTAAAACTCAGCCGTCACTGATCACATAACCTTTTAGCTGTAAAATTTTCGGATTGTAATCCTTTTAACTTTTATGTCAGAAACCCAAAATAACCTCTGCCACAATAGGTATAAAATAATCATAGAATAATAGCGACATTATGGTTCAAACTCATCTCTCAATAATGGAAAATATTTCGGTAAACCCCTCATAATAAAAGCAGGTCACAGTGACTGTTACCTCTGGGCCTTTTTGGCGATATACAAGATGCTACAAAAGTTGTGTCCTTGAAAATCCAAAAAATTAACGCAACAAATGCAAGTTGGAAATTATGTTAGTGAAAACCTATTTGAAAATTGACGGAATCTGGATTTCATAAAAACGTATTTGTGAAATCAAAATCAAATTAAATTCCATAAACTACCTACTAACAAGAATAATACAATAGCTGAATACAATAGCTTCCAAATTTTCCGAATATTTAGGTAGGTACCTACTTTGAGCATGTAAATTTCTACTATCTATTATTATATCAAATGTAAATCCTTCTGTAAAATAATCTGGGATAATGTCTTCATTGTTGGAGAATAAATATCAATGAAACATTAACATACTCATAGAAATTATTGTTATATTATTTGAATATATACCTTCTTAAAATTTCTTGATGTCTTTACATAATGAGTTATAAATGATACTTACTTCATAAACCCATGTTCAGTGTCTGAATAATATGAAGTGGTTCAACAAGATGGATCAAATGATGGAAAAATTGAAAGCTGGGCAAGGACGGATTCATGGGGGGTGATGGGGGTAATTTCCCCCGCCCAACATCAACATTCAGTATTAAAATGAAAAGTATAATGTATATCAGGCATTTTCTCATTTGTGTATGCCATTTTAATAACAAGTGAATTATTAAAGTAACAAATTAAGAACAGAACAACAACACACAATTAATATTAATTCAATTTCGAAAATTCACAAACTGACAGCGTCATACCAATTTAATTGTCACTATCGCTAATAGCTACCTACTAGATAGATTAGTTTCGTATTTTCACATTTATGACGATGTATCTCTGGTGTTCCTAAAATAATTTTTTGCTGCGAACTGGTTTATTTTGGGCAAAAAACCCAGGAGACATTTTTTTGTTTAGAATGAAACAGGCTATCGGAAATAAATGTTTAAATGGTAAACAAATAATAAGACAAAAAGTTACATTGGAAATAAATTTTAGGGGTTGCGTTTTCCACCTCTTACAACCATGGGGTAAACCAAATAAATTTCTGGCCAAGTGTCTTTTTGGTAGTACAAAACGTCAGGTTGATTTCAATACTGTAACTTTTTTAGTGCTTGTGAAAAAAATTGTTATACAAATTTTATGTACCACCTTTAAGGGGCTGTATCTTAGCAAGGGATGCTCCAATGAAATTTCTTTATATTGATCCTATCTTTTTTTCGATGAGGAATCACCTTCTTAAATGTTTTACACTTATTTAGTTACACCCTGTATTTATATTCAAAAAGGAAGTGTATTTTACATAGTCTATGTTAGTCATCATTGTGCTTGTTTCGTCCTGTTTGTCAATTAAAACTTAATGACACTGTTTTTGACTTATCCTATCTATTATTAACAATAGTTGAAAGGATTAATGAATATTTTATTTTAATTTTTTTTTATTTAATTTAATACTTCCACTTTCAGTAACACATCAATGATTTTGGGTGGAAATCCACAGGAAATGTTCACGTGGAAAAAAACTAATTAATACACTCACACAATGAAGTGTATCTTAGTATTATCAAAATATGGAGTGATATAAATATAATGGACCAAATAAATATGATGAACCAAAAAAAAGTATTGAAACAGTTTCATCTTCAACTCAAATTATTTTTCTTCTGAAGGTGAATACCTACACTATAAACAATTTCAATTTCACTTCAAAACAACGTATTCATGCATTAATTTCATTATCCCAAATTTCAATTTTTTGGATTGACCCCTTCAAAAAATAAAAGGGGGGACATTAAATGCACTGTATATGTATATGTAGGTATGCATGTATTTTATTTCCTGTGTGAGATTCTAAAGGATTTAATAGACATCATTATTATTATCACCAGTACTACCTAAACAATGATAGGTACTAATAGAAATTCCCTCTTCTACAAAACACAGCATACCAACTTAATACAATAAAGATACAAATAAACTCAATAAAACCCCGAAATACGACAAAGCCGGCGTTGAAACATAAAATTAAGTCGCTAAAACATGTTAGAACCAATAAAAATGTAATCAATAGCTAAACGCGGTGGCTCTGTATTATTACGATCAATACAGTATACTTCCTAATAGAACCCGACATTCACTAAACTGTTTGTTAGGACCTGTGTAGCCAATCGCCGATCGAATCCTATCCGACCAACCAGGATTACCGTAGCCCCGCCCCCTGGAAATTGTGTAAATACAGTGGGTGAGAAGGAAACCACTTCAGTCAGTAGAGTCGTTAGAGAAGATAATCATATCTTCCGAATTAGTTGTGTGCGACAGCTGAGTGTGCCAAGTTTTGTGTTGTGATTTCGTTGATGAACAGCCAAGTTAGTTACAAGATGTATCAAGCCGAGACAAATAATCCTGTTGTTTTGGAGGTGAATCCGCCGCATTACGGCTTGCATCACGGACAACCCAGTCCACCGCATTCCCCTACAATGTTTAACAGTGAGTTTCGGTTTTGATAAATTCAAATATTACTATAAATGATGTAAACAAATTTGGGTAATGCAAATCTGAGAGGTACCTAAACTGGACTAAAAGAAAATCGTTTATTTCAAATCAAATCACCGTCGCAAACATTTTTGGCTAAATTTCCAGTCTCAAAAATACTAGATTTGTTGAATTATGACTTTGAACTTTCGATAGATATACAAAGGTACCTGAATAATTTACCTTATTCCTGGAAATGATAAACTTTGTACTTAGGTAATCTTATGTAGGATTAACTGAAGATTAATCATATTTTATTCGTTATTTAGGTACTTCCTATTAATCTCTATTGATATTCCTACATGTTATGTGGTTTTTCATACAACTTATAGTTTTTTTGGTTTTCAACAAATCAGTTGTTTTTGCTGAGTTTTTGTTCAACTGTTTTTACGGGCCTGTTGATGGTTTCTTCGATTTAACATGTCCTTTATTCTTTTTCTTCTGAATAATATATACCTACCGAAATATCTCAAATCAAATCTTTTGAGTTATTGTTTATTTACTAGAAGCTAACAAAAAATGTTTGTACATTTTTCTTACGCATTTATTAGTTGAAAATAATGCCAATACCGAAGATTATTGTCTGATGTTGCTTGTAGAATATTTAATAGTTACAAATGGAATAACTGGCGAAAAATTTTATGAATAAATCACCAAAACCCCTCAACGAGGGGTTTCTAAAACAAATTCAGTATCATCAGGATATATGACCATTGGTATAGCTAACCCCTAGGTATTTGCATTGGCCTGAAGATGCTAACGAAACCTGTTCACTCCAGGTTCAAGACGTATGAATACCTATAATAGGACGCAATGTTACAGTTTTTTTCGGCATTTTATCCGGCATTTTATAATTGAAATTTGATTTTTTTAAAATCAGTATCTTGATTTACAAGTTTTCTTTAATAAAATGATACCTGCTTGTCAAAACCGAAGCCCAAAGCCCAAAATTTGTGGGCATTTTCAAAAATATGCCTATACCGGGTGACGAAAATTGAATTGCAGACTATATTGCTGTTTTGGTAACGGTTGGCGAAAAATACGAAATATTCAATTTGCCTTTTGCAAACATATTAATGAAAAACTAAATTTCAAAAATGTGAACCAATCGGGGAATCGAACCTGAGTCTCCTATTCTCTGGATATGCGTATCAACCATCGTATTACATTACAGACGATAATTATTCGTCTTGTATTTCTTTTAATACCTTTATTCATAAAATATATGTATATACAAAAATATATCTACAATGTATCGTATATATACATTGTATTAGCCAACAAATGTACTTGCAATGGGATTTTGTTGAGAAATACAAGTTGAAATCGTCCGTTTTTCATTTGTCTACTCTGATATCTTCATTATACAAATATTCGCCGCCCGGTATATTTACACATGAAGATTTTAATCTGGTGAATTGCCCGCTTAGATACTTCTCATTGATTCCATTCCCAGTGGACTGGACATTAAATTTAATGGAAATTCAGAATTCACTTCAAAAGACTAGACTTCTCTTCTTTTTTTAAGAGGTTAAAACGGCTCCTTTGTATGGGTAATTAAAAAAAGAGTTATAGCATTTATATCACACGAAAAATTTGAGTTTTCAATCTCGAATACCACGAAAAATGTCGAAATTAGAAAAAATTTCGGTACGTTTTTCTGTGTCCTCTTCTTCTCCCCGAGAATCCGTTATTAGCGTTTCCTTGCAATCGTCCACTTGTTCTTGCGCCGCCGTATGCCTCTCAAACCACTCCACAGTCTAGACACCCCCATTAACGATGCTAATAGTCCTCAAGTTTCTATTTCCTGCCCGCGCTAAGCCTACTTATTTTTGCAGATCGTACTAGTCCGCCGAATCAAGACATGATCCACATCGCCAATGCCAATACAAGTCCATCCTCAATCAACGATCCAAGCATAAGAAGATACAGGACGGCTTTCACCAGAGAGCAACTTTCCAGGCTGGAAGCAGAGTTCAACAAGGAAAGTTACGTTTCCAGGCCGAGGAGGCAAGAACTAGCGAACGAGCTGAACCTGCCTGAGAGTACGATAAAGGTGAGTACGGGGTTTTGAAGTTATAGTCCGGGGATCAAGGGCAAAATATTTCGAAAGCGGAAATTTTCTTATAAGCGCTCGAGTTTTTGTCTCAGAGTCAATTTTTGCCTAGAGAGTGAGATCATAAAAGTCGACATGGATTGTGTGTTGAGTTTTTTAAATATTGCGATTATCTACCAGATTTTCGAGTCTTCAATATCTCTGAATGTTTCTACACAATAAAATTACTCTAAAGCCTTTCTTATGGACAACTATTTCCTTGGCTGATACCACGACGGACACTCTCCAAGAGGTAGTTGTTTTCATGTAGACATTTGCCAGATTCTTTCGCTGACGAACGTTGATAGAGGAGAGATACTTTTTGAGTTTAAATTCAGAATAGTTGCCTATAAATAATTTTCTAACATTTCAAAAAGATGATTTTGAAGCTACATGAACTTTTCGAATGAAGGAAATTATCGAATATATTTTGCGAAACTTGAAACATATTATGAAAGATGCTGTTGGAAATGATGAATTAGAAGTTTGGTTAATTTTAATAGCCCGGATTTTAATCTTTCTAATCATCTTATTTGATATAACATTGGTCTTTGGTGCAAAAACTAATTCAGAGTTTGTTCTACATAAAGATGATATTGAATATATTAAAAAAAATACTAAAAAGGTCACATACGTCACACATTCATTTCAAAGTGAGTGGAGAGTTTTGGTTAGATTATTTTCTTTACCCTTGAGAAGTTTTTTTTTATATATTTAGTGATGGTGGTGATACAGTCAAATCATGTTTGAATTCAATTCTTTTAAAAACATCAACTGAGGTTTTTTGTGCAGCTTATTTTTTATTTCATCGAATATTTGTTCCAATCTGAAGACCTGATAAGGAAATCTACTTCTGACTAATAATTCATAATTTTTAATGAGTCAAAATAGACCAAACTTCAAACTTGTTCATTTCTAGAAATATCGGCTGCGACAGTGAAAATTATTACGTACACACGTATATGAAAAATCCTGCCCTTGCTTGTTGACATTTGCCTGTTGAGACAGAAACCGACTATAATCGAGCGTCATTTTAAGATCCATCAAAGCGTTTATGATCGAAATCCCTCGGAGATATATCAATTAGCACATTACTCTTTCAAACGAAACGCTAATACAGCTTTTAAGCCATCAAAGCGACCGCGTCACCGCTAATTCCAGCGCTATAAAAACGCTCTCAAGAACTCATCGAAATAGTAGTCTAATGGACAGATAAGTCGGTATCATGTGTTTTACAATGTGCTAACTACTTCAAGTCGGCGTATTCAATGAAGCCGAGCATTGTCCCCGGTTTACAGAAGAAATTAGCGTCAGCCACCGGCACCAGGGGAGCCAGAGTTTACTAATATTTAGCCGGGTCTCTCTGTTTTTCGCTTCGGATAGTTTGATTGGTGTTCTTTCTAATTTTAAAGGGCCGTACATGACTCACGGTTTCAAAACCTTTCTTCTTTCGAATTTTGCTCCAGTAACGTCTTAACATTGAACAGCCATCTCAAAAACTCTTTTTTATTGTTGCAGGTTTGGTTCCAGAACCGGAGAATGAAAGACAAGCGGCAGCGCCATACCCTGGTGTGGCCCTACGCCGCCGTGTATTCAGATCCAGCCTTTGCAGCCTCTCTCCTCCACGTGGCGGCATCCTCGCTACCGCTACACTACCCCCCCGCCCCAGGGTTGTACCCCTCAGCGTACCCGCGCTATCAGCCCTACCACGGCTTCGGCATGCCCGCTCCGGGGATTCCCTTGCAGCAGCCTTGGCACCAGGCCATATCGCAACCACAGAACCTGAACCTGAATCTTCCTCCCTTCGAGTGGAACCCCATGTACCATGCCCAGCAGCAGAGGGTATCCCCAAATTCTTCGGTCAACTCAGAGATCAGTATCAGCCCTCCAATTCACGAGAGGGCTTTAAACGTGGCGGATAGTCTCTCGCAGAGTGTTGTGGGGAGGCCCAAGCTGTTCCAGCCGTACAAGTCGGAGGCGTAATTGTTCCGTTGGGCAGGGGGGGGGACGTTTTATAATGCCAAAGATAGTTTTAAGTGGCTGGGGAGTTTCGATTGCTTGTTAATGAATTTTATTCGGCTGGGACACCGAGATAGACTTTGAAGGAGCTCTTCGGTGATGAGATTGGTGAATGTTGATTTCACCACTGGATCTTCATTGTGTTGTGGAACATAACCTTTAAAAATGCAGAAAGAATCCAAATTGAGCAACCTGCAATTCATCATCAGTTGAAATTTTAGTTTCAGACCGTTTTTATGAGTATGTAGGCTGGCATTTTCGCGATAAGTTTGCACTGACGTCATGAGATAGCTGATTTAACATTTTTTAGATATTTGAATCGTTATAGAATGATCTCGATTCCCTTGTTATGGTTCAATACTGTTAAAAATATACCCTACATATATTTTATGAAAAAATACAAAACAAGTCATTATTTTCCACCATATATGAGTGACATCAGTGCCAACTTCTCCTGAAATATATTGTATGTTGATTTCCCTGTGAACGAAGTTATAATATTCGGGTTATGACTCGACCCGACGATTTTGAAATTATTAAAAATTGTTTAACCGGTCAATGTTGAAGGAACATAAAAATTTTGTCCACACATTTGAGAATTTTAACTTTGTGAAAGGAATTTGTAAAAGTATGTTAGAATTGAATGTTTTTAACATGAAGATATTTGATACTAAATCTGATTATCAATTGCAAAAATATTGTTTGCTGTCCAGGAAAAGTTCCGTAACAATCAATTGTTGTTTCAAGCCTTAGTGATATATTGTATATAATTGTTTATGATTGTGTATTTTAAATTATTTGTACATACCGTTGATATTCAGATTAAATATACCGACTAGAGAAAGCTGTTTTTCATTTTTACACGGCCCTGTTTGTTTGTTTGTTTGGGTCAAATTTAATAGGTAATTGAAGTTTGACCCCTTCCTATTGACAGATTCATCTGATATTTGGCACACATTGTCTAGATCACAAGATCCTTTTTTTTAGAACACAAAAGTGACGCATTGTTATTTTTGTTTTTTTGGTTGTATTTAAAAAAATATATCTTAAAAATTAATTTGTTCAAAACAAATTGTTTAATTAATGAATAAAGAAAATATAATTTAAAAGAAGTTTTCTTTCAGAATATAAAAGAGAAATGAAAATTATGATTTAAAAAAAGTATTCCTTATTATTCATATTTAGTAGCAAAAAAATTGTTAGTCAACAAATGCGTTTTTAAGCAATACATTTTTTTTCACTGATGAAAATCCCTTCAAAAAAATTTCAAATATATAGACAATACTTTTTTTTAAACAAATAGAGCTAAAAATTATGAAAAATAATTTTTATGTAACTCATTGGTTTAATTGATTTTTCACTTTTTAACGTCTCTAATAACGAATGTACCAATTTCGAAAAAAATTACAGAATTAATAGGGGGACAAAAGACCTTTCAAATGATGTATCACTCGACCCCCATGTCATTAAAAAAAATACGGGGGGTAGTTGTTGACCGCAGGAGGGTGAAGTTGCGGGAATGATTTCCATATCAGAAGTAGTCCACCTAGAAATAAATATCGACGTCTTTTCTGACTTACAGGGGGGTCAAGTTTTCGTTGTAACGCCCTGTATAACCTATTTTACGGTAAATCTATTTTACGAATTATGAATAAAAATAAGTTGACAGAGAATTGTTCCTTGAGTTTATTAGCCTAATTATCTAACAAAATAAAAATAAACTAGAAATTGTGTTTATTTTAGTTAAGTTTTTTGTTAGATGAGTAGCGTGTGAACTTAAAAAAATTGAAAGAAAAAATAGAAAAGTGATGAGAGAAAACATTTTCAACCCCAAATAAGAGAGATATATCAGAAATTCCAAAATTGTGATGGATTATGCTGATTTGTTATTGTAAATATTGCAGGCAATGTCTTCTAGATTATCTACCTGCTGTCTGTTTGAATCTGTCTGTTTAAATCTGTTTTTCCGTTAATCAGCTGTCGTCCCCATACGAACGACAACTCTCAGAAGTTGAGAAACTTGTGCGAGCTGAGGACAAACGAGATCTTACCTTTTAACGTGTGATTCCTACATTTCATAATAATTTCTAGTAACTATGCATTCAATTATCTATCTATTATCGGTTGTGATTTTATCCATTTTCTCTCAAATAATTCATTTCTAATTAGAATGTACGTATCTTTCATTTGCAATATCACTTATTTGAAAGGAATAATTGGGGTTCCCGTTTTCTACTGGTAAATGTGCTTCCTGATTAAGTTTGGTAGTTAGTCTAATCAACAAGTTCAAAAACATGAAAAATAGAGATAAAGGTCCTAAAAATATGGGCAATACCTCATTCGATTCGACATTAACTAGCATTTTTAGAGCCAGCAAAAAAACTATACAGTGCAAAAGTAAATCCTACGCCCCCCCCCTTCCAACTTTGAACGATGCTATTTTCAAATAACTTTCATTGGAAAAAGGAATAACACGATAGCGTTTTATTTTAACCTCATAAAAAATAATTTGAGAAAATGTTCTTCTTGGACAGTCTATTTTCGAATTCATTTCTAACATTTTGAAACGTTTTTGAGGTAATTCAGCATAAGTTTCAGTAATTCTGTCTCTTAGTTCCATCGTCCCAGGTTGTGTAACACACACTTTCGATTCTATCTAGCCCCGAAGGAAAACATCGAGAGGAGTCAAATCCGGTAAACGAGCAGGCAGTTCCAACGGACCGCGGGCCTACCAATCCACATGCCTGAGTATGTTCAATTCAACCAATTCCTTATAGGTCTAATCTTGTTGAGAAACAACTAGATTTTGAATTCCTAATTGTTGGCTACAATTTTTTGAATCCGTGGGTGAATGAGGGTTTGTAGAATTTCTGAATAAAAATGACGAAACAGGGACCAACAATATGAATTGCCAATATTCCTGCCCAGACATTAATTCCGTCAGGAGTTTTAGTTCAAATCTGGCTAATATCGCACATGTAGTCGTTTGAATTTCAATGTTCTCTTATTTTGAAAAATTTCGGAAAATGTTTCATAGAAAAGTTGTTAAGCATTGAAAAATACATCTAGATTTTGAAATCATGGCTATATAAGTGAAGTTTTATTTTTTTACCAATTTTTTTCTAAATGGGGACTACGAAAAGGAAAATTTGCTAAAACGATAAATAGACATCAGCCTGTATACAACGTTTTATTTTCAAAGCCTGCAATATTACAAATTACCAACTAACTAAAACCGAAAATTTCTCAAAATTATACAGCATTGTTACTACAACGTAATATTCAATAATATCAAACCACAAAACATCAAAATAAAATAGGTGTTTCGGAACAATCTCGTTGATTTTCTGGAGATTTTCTATATTATTGATTTGTAATATTACAGGCTTTTAAAATGGACCGTTTCATACAGGATGCTGACTATTGCCATGGAAATTATTTACAGTTTTTTTAAGGACGCCATCTAAAAAGAACATTGCTATGGTTTTTGCTTACTTTCTTATTATCAATACCTCGACATGAAATAAGTTTTGAATCAATAAACTTGAAAGCGATAACATTTTTGAATAGAGAATGAAGAGACCTTTCAAACGGTATATCAAAAGCCTATACTTTTAATTTAAAAAATTGGGGGTTGTACCTGTCATTCTTGAGGGTTGAAGGTAGTGGTAACATTTTTCCGTTGAAGTATGTCAAATTATAATTTTAATTTGACGTGTTTCGGGATTTTTTAAAATACGTACCGTAACCGAAATAATGAATTTATTCCATTTGGCTTTTACACACTGTATAGATTCAAATACATTTTATTCGGTTGAACAAATGTGTCATTTGGAAGCGAAATTATCATTTTATTGATTTCAAAATGATTTTTTTTGACATGAAAATACTTCATTATATTATATTGATTTGAAAAGGGTATATTTTTAGGAAATGAAACCCTTCCCTATGGACTCCCCTCGCGAAACATGTGAAAGAAACCTTCAAAAATTGAGGACGTCGAAAATGCCGAATAATGTAAAGGTGCACCGGAATTTCCCGGCCATTATAAATATTTCCACCTGGTCGCGTATAAGAATCAAGGCGGCGTTATTTCCGCGGATTCTCGCCCGTGTGACGGCCTACGGTGATTTCCCAGAGGTTGGATAAACTTCGATTTAACAATATATCGGAACGGTGTCCCCGGAACCGTTCTCAACCCGAAACGTCACCAGACGCGTGAAAATGCCGGGAGAATATAGACTCTAAGCGTGAGCTCGATAGGTGCCAAATCGGCAATACGAGGGGACTCTGCTGGACTGTACCGGAAGGGGAAAGTTGGCTCGGTTTCCTTGAATTTTTCAGCGTTCCAGCAATTTATGACGCGGGAATTTCGACAAATGATGGTTGAAAATGCAGGGTGTCCTCCGACAGGGAACTATTAATAATGGACCGTCTGAATCATCGATAATTAATAACGGAAAAATAAACTCTTTGTTTCTTTTCTCTGCAAAGATTTGATGAAAAGTTTAAGAGTTTGTGACGAGTTATAATTTCCATAATTTTGCTTTGAATGAATTTATATTTGTGTATACGTATGTGAGTATATAGGTAATTAGTAGAAATGAATAAGCTCTAAACACATATAAATCTCTAGGTATAGTATATGAGGAAATTTACTAAAAAGATTGAGTCTTACCTAACTGATCGCCAACAAATAGTGACTATTAATAATAATGGTCGAACATATACATCTGAGAATGCTGCAGTGAAAGTGAGAATACCCCAAGGAAGCTTTGCAGGTCCCTTGTTATTTATCATCTAAATGAACAATGTATGTTATCATTCAAACACGGATAATTCAATTACAGTTTTTCCTGATGACACCAATTACTTAATAAGTAGGGAACACACCCTGAAGTAGTAAAAACAGGTATGTTTTTGAATAANATCTGTACAAATCGATATCGCCTAGCTAAATCACAAAAAAATTCTTTGGATTACAACTTATATAACTGTTTACCAGTCAAGCTGAAAGATCTTAGTATGAATAAATTCAAACAATCCATTAAACAACTAGGTACTATTGGAGGGCTGCTTTTACTCTGTCTCTGATAGAAAATATGAATGATTCATGATTTTTTTATGTCTTACAAAACAAAAATCTGCGTGGTCTTGATACGGGACTAGTACAGTGACGTCATTAGGACGAGGCTATGGAAAATACTGTCAATAACATTTAATTAATAATAACAATATCATAGTATTGATATTAGTGATTGCTGGAGTTCACTAGCAGTAATTAAGGGAAATTTATGGTTTCAATGAAGGGTTATTTTGTTATCCCGAAAAAATATTAAGTTTCTTGTTTTTTGAAAGACATTTTTTTTGTGGAAGACTACATCATTTTCCTTTCATTTATTAAGTGTATGAATCTCCCTAATAGCGCCATAATGTAAGAAATGACTTACCAAAATCTTCCACCATCTCCCGGTCTATGAAGTTAATTATTTTTTGGTGGGGAAGCAGGAAACCAAAATGTTTTTCTCAAAAGTCGTTTCAACCCCAGTCTCTTGATCATTTTTTTCATCCAAAATATTCTTCGGTGACTTTTATTGGGCCTATTCCAGACAAACGGTATTTCATAGTTTTTTTTTCTACCTACTTTTCTTCCATCCTAATCTTTTTAGTGGCAATTCAAGACGAGTAGAACCGCAATTTTTTTGCAAATTCAGGCAACGTTACCTAGATATGGTGCAAAAATTCTTTTGTCATGATGACCTAACGGAACGTCAGGCCATGCTAAATTGCCTATAATTGAGTTATAGTGGCTTTGCATAAATTTTAACGGCACCTTATGGCTTC